ATTATTTTTATGGTAAATGAATCTTCTCTTCTTAAAGATTTGCTGAATTATCTTGTTCTCAATTTTATAATTTATATAGAATCATACACAATAAAATACACAGATTTTAAATCTATGGTATGATTTTTTTAGTATGAATTTTAAACCATCTCCTTTCATGTAATCATCTCCAATCAAGATATCCAGAAAATACCCTTTTGTCACTTGGCAATAAATCTCCCCTACAAACCCACCCAATAGAATGCAGGTCTGACTTCTATCACCATACATTAATTGAGCTTGCTCTGCAACTCGATATTAATGGAAGCATACTGAAAGCACTTTTTTGTGTCTGGCTTCTTTTATACAACATGTCTGTGAGGTTCCTATACATTACTGCATGTATCCGCAATTCATCTTTATTGTGGAGTAGCATTCGATTAAATGAATGTACCCAAAAAAATGAATACTGTATACCATAATTTGTTTATCTACTCATCTATTGATAGATATCTGGGCTGTTTCAAATTTGGGGCTATCAATTTATGAACATTCATGTACAAGTTTTTTTATGAGCATATGTTTTCATTTAACTTGGATTAAAAACCCCTTAGTGGAATTGTTTGTTTATTAGAAATGAGGCTGTTGAAACTTAGGTTCACTTAACTTTGGGCAGGTAATCAGAAAAGGCTAGTTGCTAGAGAGGGACACCATATTTGGTAAAGCAGAGGATCAGTGAAAATGAGATTGATTAACAGGACAACTACAACAATGGACTCAAAACATACCACAGTCTTGAAGAAAGCTTAGGGCCTGACAGTGTTTCAGTCTATGGTGAAACCTGAAAAACTGGAACTTGACAGGATTGTCTAGTTTTTCTGGGTATCATAAGTTTCCACCTTTGACAGGGTGCGGTCGTCACACTTTTCTATCACTCCTAGTGGGTAAAAGGCTCGGAGCCTGGAATCAAACCTATATTCAGTCCTGAGTCCCATTTCTCCCCTTTAGGAGCACTTTCTACCCAACCCCTGCATGTGCAGTCAGCCAGGTGGCCCAAGGGGCTCCTGCACTTGCAGTGATGGACCTGACTCAGGTCCTATGGCATCCTGGCAAATGAACTTCTCCCAATGCAATATTTTTTTCATGGACTCATGTGCTATTCACCCATCAGGATGGTTTGGTTTGTGTTGTCTCAAAGTGTTCACATACACTGTTTATATACACTTATAAAACACACACAAATTTTCCAGTCACCCCTCCTGTCTCCTAAAGAAGGTCCTGCCTAAACTTCTCCCTTGTCATTTTCATTACAATTGTGATTGTTTATTGTCTATCTGTCACCCCCACCCTCTTTTTCTTCCTACTATCCATCAATCTAGACACCACTCAAGGTACTAAGGATAAAATAAAGAATCAATCTTTACCTTCTTGGACTTTAATTCTAAGGAGCCAAGAAATAACCAAATACCATATATACTCGTGTATAAGTTGAGTTTTTCATCACATTTTTTAATGCAGTATTTGTGGTAAAAGTAGGTGCCTTGGTTGATATTCGGGTCAGCTTATACTCGAGTATATACGGGTAAATCAAAAGATAGGTAACTAATAACAAAAAGACAACCCAATCCTAAAATAGGCAAAGTGTGTGTGTGTGTGTGTGTGTGTGTGTGT